TTCGTGGTTGAGAAGGGCCCAGGAAAGCATGAAATTCTTAAAATTTCTTAAATAATCCTAAATACACCCTTTTGAGAAGTGCCCAGTGATCATCTACGATGGCCTCCTTGTCTTGTCTTCGACCGGGGCCTGTCTTCCCGACTGTGACCTGAGAAACAGTTCCAAAGGGATGCGAAGCATGGAGGATAGATGTGCCCTTGTCACATCCAGTCACTGGATGGGACTAACTGCTGGTATATATAACCTCATCTCATCTTCCACAAAAGGGGCTTCACTCGCCAAATAACAAATAGAAGGTATAAATGGGAACCAACGAGATGTATTAAACTCCTTCTGAACAGTAGCAAACAAGTGGAATGTGTCACAACGCAGAAACATGAAGGGAATGAGCTCTGAAAGAATCATGGAAGTGGAGTGAGGGAATGAGCTGACATGAAGATGTGGCTGAGGTCAATTGAGTGACACTGAGGTGAAGTAGGAAGTAACATGAAGTAAGGATAGATTGAGGTGGAAGTGGAGTCGGAGTGAGTGAAAGCCCCCTGTTTGTTGGGTCTTCGGATTGAACATGGTCTTCCGAACTTGGGGCCCGCATGTAGTTCGTCACCAATGGGGCTGTTCGTCACCATGGGGCTGTGTCTTTCGTTCCGTTCGTTCCTTTTGGGAAGACCTGGCCGTTCCGAGGTGGGGATGCACGACGACCGAACAAAGGCGCGGGGGTCGCGGTACCCGAAGTCGCGGCTACCCGATTTTGAACATCTTTTTAAGAGCGTAAGCCGATCCAGGACGTGGAGTGCAGATCCACAAAGGAAACTTTAAGTGACCTTATAGAACCATTCTGGGGTACCTTTGGGATTTAAGGGTCAACCTCTGTGGGCAGGATGTTCAGGACAAACACTTGGATCCTCCCCCTCCCGGAAGAGCGAGGACACATCCGATGAAGCAAACATTGAGAACCGACTGATTCATGGAGGTTCATAGATCTACTAGAATCTAGCTTTCTACATCAAGATCCTACCCCTGCAGGTCCAATGGCTCAGTCAAACCTCTCAATGAGTAGTCTTCATGTATGATCAACTTGTGGTCTTTGACATAAGACTAGGGAACGGATTCCCAGTATCAACATGTGATCAGCACCAAGAATCACCAAGCTTCCCCAGCTTTTCACACACAAACCACCCCCGCGGTTGGCCTTACCCATCTCGGCGGTCCAAGGAACGTGGCTTGATCGGACACGTCGTCGCGTCGGTGGTCCTGAGGACGTCCATGTTCGACCAGTGACCAGTTTAGATAAGGTTTAGTGGAGTTAACATAAGGTGCGACTGCTGGTGCTCAATTCGACCAGTGACCACTCAAGTGAGTTTAGTGGGGTTAATATAAGGTGCGACTGCTGTTGTGTGACTGCTCTGTTGGTATCTTGCCCTGCAGGAAAGAATGATGCTAAAACATGCTGAGAAAACTGTTGTGTTCAGCCGCCTCTTTGGGTCAAAGGAACGTCAAAGGCAAATTGTTTATATTATTAAACACTATTAAACATCTCTGGAAGTCAAGGTGCAACTACATCTGGTCTATTCTGGTCTTGAACACAATCGCACGATGATCCGAAATTGATGCGATTGGGTGGGCTTCGCTGTGCTCGCTCTTCCGGAGTTGCTAAGGTACAAAGTGCCCCAAACAATCTGTGAGTTAGATCATGAGCACTCTTCATTTTCGCTAGCTTTTGACCCTTCAATGTCAACAAGTACTGCTCCTCCCCATGGGTCATGGGAAGCTGACCTCTTGCTCTCAAGAGCAAACTTGGACCACAGAAACTGCCGTCTCTCCCGCCTCCAAACAATAAAGGAATCCACCGTCTCTCCGATCATCCAAGGTCAAGTACTTCTTGTCCTGGCTCGTTCGTACGTCTCGGGGAAGCAGAACCGTATATGATATATAATATATATATACTCTCCGCGATTTGCTGTTCTTCAGGATCTGCAAGGCCTGGTCATGATGACAAACACACACACAACACCAATGTTGGGACATACCTCTTGGCCTCTAGGGAATGGCACGCAACACTTCTATTTAAGTCTACTAGTACAGCCCTACATTTGTTTGAGGTTGGTGTTTGAGTCATAAAATCTCTCAACTCCACCTGATGGATGTTTGGACGGATCTACCAGAATCCACCATCGCGAAGGGTATCCACATGTTCCGATTTGGGGCTATTGATTGGTCTGTCCACATGGTCTTCACGGATGCGCTGTGAGGACTCTCACGTGCGGCTGCGCAGGGCGCGGCCGTGAGCCGACGTGTTTTGGATGGGAAAGGGTTTGGGAACAGAATTCAACATCCAGTGCCCGGCCTGGGGGTGGTATAAACGTATCCAGCCATCCAGCAAGGGCTGAAAGGTCCAGACCGTAGGCGTGCTCAGCCTGAGGCCATAGCAGAACAAACCAGCACAGAATGGTCCATTCATGGTTCATTCTTCAACATATTCATAGTGATTCAGTGGAACTTAGAACGTTGAAACAAATGATGGAAAGCCACGACTCAGGACATCCAACCAGGACGTTGTTTTCGTTTCCCCCCCAAGCAGTTCTACATTTTTGTGTCACCAGCTGGAACATGCGGCAAAGAATTTGTGTTTTGGCCAAACACGGTCCAGGTTCCTGCTATGTGAAAAAGGTCCTGCTTCTGGCAGACTAGATGTTCTATGTTTATGGTTTGCCATGAACACAGGCACGAAGGCTTTGTCCCTTCAATTCATTTCTCCCCCCTTCTTTTCGCTTCGTTTCTCCCTTCCCTTTCCTTCTTCCCTTGGTTCAGGGCCCAATTTTGGTGCACCCATCAAATAGAATACCCTTCAGCCCTAAACAGGACACCGCACTAAAATGACCTATACCGATTGTTTCTAAGTTCCCTTTTTGATATTCAACATTTATTCACTTTGAACCTTTTGGCACAACTCCTGAAAAACACCAAAATGTTTCAAGTTTGACTGATTCAATCTGATTCACTATATATCACAAAATCTTAGTTACAAAATGTTACAAGTAGCTGCTCTGAATGGGGGTCTTAAGCAATGTTTTGTAAGTTTATGCAGAACAAACTGGGTGAGTGAACATGGATAAAGAGACTTTAGACATGGTGGCTAAAACTACCAAAAAAGGCTCCGCCGCAAGAAATACTTGTCACATCTGGTGAACCCGTATCATGGTGCCCCAGGAACAACAGGCACCCAACCAGCTTGTCATGGCATGTGAACAGTTGAAAACCATCTTGATCCGTCCGCCAATGACATGACTTCTGGGCGGTTTTTGGGAACTCGAATGCCGCACTTCAGTCCCCCAAGTTCGACGATTGGCCATTGGCGCCGTTTCATGAGTTGGACCAGTTTGATGCCACCCTTTTTTTCTTGCATGGGCCGAATCTTTGCAGGTCACCCCGTGTCGTTTGTGTTGTTTTGGATGTTTCAATGTTCGACGCTTCGAAACCTCACGCCTTCAGCTGACTTCACCCACGTTCGACCACAGGGACGGGCTGGGTGCCCCCCCCCCTCCCCGTGCGGGACGGGACGCGGGACGTTCTGTGGGCTGGCTGTTGACCGGATCGGACGACGAAGGAGCGATGGCCTGGTGGACCGAGGCTCCGCGCATCTTCGCTTCTTCACCCACACACCCTGAGGCTGCGAACGCCCGCGCCAACGGCGTTCGAACGGCGGAACGGGTGTTCAGGGCGGGGAAGCAAAAAGGAAGCCGGTGTGGTGAACATCCCTGACTCCCGGACAACAAAGGAAAAGGAACAGGTATGAAAAGGATTGAAAAGGTGAAGGAATGAACTGCTGTGGTGTGTTTTGAGTGGGGAATTCAATCCAATTCAATCAACTCAAAATACTGCTGGGGGAGCTTCAGGTCCTTTCGGTTGAGGGTGGGAGTCGCGCCCCTGGGGCGGGCGCCCAAGAAATGCTGCTGGTTGAACTCGTTCATCCTGGCGCATTGAGCAATTCATCCATGCCAATCCGTGAATCAATGTGTATACCCTAGGGGCTCCAAGTATCTCCTTAGAAGGTATTTGGACCTTCCAAACCCACCCCAGTCCCACCTTCTCAGAAGGTACGACTGGAGCCCCACGGATAGATATGATATGATATGATATGTTAATATATTATCATGTTTAAGCCGTGGTGACTCTGTCACCATGTTCAATGATGCTGACTCTGCAACCTGAATCTCATCGCATCAGAATCAGCCGGGAATGGCTTCGCACCTCCGAACCATGAACTGAGGGGAATTTCCCATGGACCATCCCACGCGGCCCACTGAAATCGCACAGATGTTTGTTTGGACCATCCCTCGCTGAGACTGACATCCGAGGTGAAGCGACTGGCACACAAAAAAAAGCTCTTGCGCGGATTTGCGCGGTGCTATAAAAGCATGGCACCACGGTGCGGAACAGGTGAACACAACCTGCACCTCCTTGCTGCTCAGCCACCCATTGCACCTTTGATGACCTCTGTCACTCAAGTGACTCATCACTCATCTTCCGCTTCGCCAACTGGGCGAAGACGTCGAACTGGGCCACTGGTCCACCGGTGCAGGGAGAAGCCTCATGGACGGTGTCAGGTGTGACTTCTGGTTTCATTCCATGTCGAACTTGAAGTGTTTCCATCGCATGATTCCATTTGGCAACCTTGTTCAAGCACAACCAGTACAGCGACATGAACACAAAGTCGGCGGAAAGATTCTTTCATCCCGTCGTCAAGCACGTTTATCAGAACCAGCGCAGGGCGACCAATGTTGGTCGCTCAGAACCGACGCGTCTGTCTATCTCTTCAAGACCATCACTTTCTCCAGCTCTGCCATATTCAACGTTCGACCAGGTGACCACCGGCGATCTCCCACGAAAAACGTTCAAGAAACCACACCTCACTGGTGTCCGCACTCCAAGCACTGCGAGAAAAGATTGCGTTTCAACATGTTTCAACTTATGTCAAATTCGCTGTGCAGTTTCAAAGTTGCTCACTGCGAGCGCGTTCGCAAATAGATCTGGTAGCAAACCGCAAAGCCCACCGCCAGAGCGCCTGTAACAGTGGACTTTGCTTTGGCTCACGCTGACTCCCTGAGTTTCCTGGGGAAATTAAGACTTAACCTGTGTCCACGTATTTTTCTAGTGGGAAAACCAATCCCGCAAAAAGGTTTGGCAGGTTCTCTAGTGATGGAGTAGCTTGGTACATGATGCGGTCCACGATCTCTTGGGTGGTGAACCTTCGACCGAGCAAAGAATGGGACTGCTGGAGTGTTCTGGTGTCACTTTTTCCTGCTTCGACTCCTTCGGGTTCGGTGCGAAGCACATCAGGCACCTGCGTAGATGAGGTACGGCCCGAGGGGCGTGTTGGCCGTGGCAAAGGCCAAGAGCATCCAAACTGCTACATCTTGGGCCACCTGAAGACCAAATTCTCTGCGAGGCTGGACCTGCACGCAGCTAGCAGGTGTGAATCAGCCGCCATGGATATAACAACAATTGGATACGATTAGATTTGGGGGGGCATCTACCAGAGTTGAGTTTGATTTATAATGATAAATAGCGAGTCCAATTGTGCCCGGGAGATTTTTCCGCTACCCATGTAAAGTCAGCGGGAAGAGTGCTTCCTCAGAGTGCTATTTTGCACGCAACCCCCCTGATCGAAGATCAGGCCCTTTTGTATTGTACCTTGCACAGGTGTTGTGTGCTGGCTGCGGACGCACGATTCGTGGAGAACGCCGTTTGTCTCACTTTAATTGGTTGCACCTTTTCTGTGGAGATGTATAGTTGGGGTTAGTGCATGGATGGATCTGTGTATCCACCATGCCATCGTCGCGGAGTGAACCGTCCGATGCGTGGATCATATATAGTATGTATATATATATATATGATCATATATAGTATGTGTATGTATAAAGCCGCTATGTGTTGTGTTTACTCATGTGGACATATGTACATATGTATATGTCATGACATCAGTCGTCTCCCGATCGCTCGGTCCCCAATCCGACCGCCCCGACGCGCTCGGAGACTACCTCCTTCTCTTCGCCGTTGGCCGCGAGGCGCATGGAGAAGCAGCGACCCGATGGAAAAGGGGCATGGCAAGCCCTAGGACTCCTGGCTTGCCATGAGCTGGAGTTGGGAATAAAGGACTCCTTGCCATGAAGCTGCAAGCCCTAGGACTTCTGATATTCTCAGAAGTTGGTGAAACCAGCCCTGGCACCCTCATAACTGGACCAGGAGCCCTAGGCAAGGAATCAATGGAGGGTCAGGTTTTGCCACAGACCACCCGTTTTGCCCCGGACCATCTATAATCTATATATAATAATGGGCCAATGACGCTGGAGTAGTCCAGCCAGGTGGACTGGGTAGTCCAGCCAGGTGACCCGTTGGATGCTCGAATGAACGTGGCTCAAGTGAACATCCACTATAAATGGAGGATTGATGTTGTTTGGGGAAAGAAGTTGGTTTTGACCCACATCCAGCCTTTTGCAGGCCGATCAACCCATTCTGTGATTTTCATGAAGGGAGGTTCTGGGGTCAAGAGATGGAAGGACAATCTTTCATGTGGACCTCAGTTGCCTTTGTCTTGATTGGTTTAAACCCACAGGCCGGGGGTAGGCCACCAGTAGTACAAGTAGTTACAAGTAGGTAGACTAACTAGACTGCCTAGTAGCGGTTTCGGGCTCTGGCTTCAGTTTCGGGCACTTTCACATCCCCCGTTTTCTAGCCGGCCTCCTCTGCTCGATGCTCCAGTTCACGAAGACCGACTCAGCCAATGGCCGGACACGTGGCGGTCGCGTCCAAATGCTCATGGCCCAAACGGCCGCGGTCCAAGCGCACCACATTCGACGGCCGGCCATGATGAGGAGACCGGAGACAGGCAACAGCAACCAGGCAACTGCACTAGTCCTCTTCACTAGTCTTGTTGAAGTGCTAGATACATTCCATACTGCAGTTTTTCATAACCTAGGTCAAGCCCATTCTTCACGCCCATTCTTACGCTGCTAACACATGTGAGCCGTGTGCCAAAAAACGGGATGGGTCACCAGGTGTTGTGTTTTCGTCAATTTCTCTACATGTTTTGTCTTGTTTTACATGGCCAACTCCCAGCATTGGACATGGCCCTTGCCATCCGCCATTCTACGCAAGGTCATCTCAAACTGCGGACTCAATTGTACGAAGCATGAAAAACCTTTGATCGCTTGAAGTCATCCGTTTCATGTGGAAATGAGATCTGTATGTTTCGTTGCATGGCTGTCCTCCTCAGAACGCTCCCGGACTGTTCGGAACGGAGCAATGCGGTTTTCTCGCTTTTTAGGTGTTCAGTCTGTCTGTCACCCTGCCTGATACTGGACAGAAAACAAGAAAGCAACACCTTCTGAGTAATTGCAGTACATGTAATTACTGAACCTAGACAGGGACCTTCCTTGGACCTTCCTGGTGTGGTGGGATGTCTTGCATGGCCCAGTCTAGTAGTGCAGGGACATCCAGCGGTGCCTTAGAGTTCACGGTGCTGGTACTGTTGGAAGGCACCCAAAACACACGTCGGACCACACCATCTCGCTGCGTCCTAGCCAGGATGAAGCCACCCTCGCCATCCATCACAATCCATTTGACCTCCAAGATCTGGGCACAAAAAAACAACACTACACCTGCTTCAATAATCATGAAAGTGGGAATGGCCTCTTGAATGACAATTGTTCCTTCTACGTACAAACAGGGGATTTTCCACTCCCATCATTATTTCAGGGAGTGTGCATGCAATGCCCCCTCAGGGAGTGTACATGCAGTGGCCCCCTGAACTCCCTCCTGAGTCCCCCAAAAAATTGAGATTGCTGGAGCTGACCACCCGATCATGTGCCGATGTTGTGCAACAGCAGGACGTCGTTCCTCACACCTGTACCCTTCTGTGAATATAAAAACAATTAAAAACTCTCATTCTCCAGGTCCCAGGGGTTCGGGAACTCCTGGGAACTCGCTCCGAACGGCTCCCTGTGTAATGGGGAAGAACTGGACACCCCAAGCTCTGAATCACTCCCTCCCCAGGCTCAGAACGCTCTAGTGACGCTCGTTTCAATCCATCGCTCCACCCACATCTATCGACAGAAACCAACATCGGTGAAAATCATTCCCGAAACCAAAAAAACACACCACAACAACAACAACAGCAACAACAACCAACAACCAACAACCAACCAACAAACAAACAAACAACAAACAAACAACAAACAATCAAACAAACAACCAAACACAACAACAACAACAACAACAACAACAACAACAACAACAACAACAAC